TGCCTTTTCTCCCCCGCCACTGGAGGGCAGGACCCGTGCCTTCTCTCCTGTTCCTGGCTGCATCTCCCCCGGGGAGGGGTCGTCTGTGAGGTACGGAAGCCCAGCCCCCAGTCCACCAGTCACGCTCCCCACACCTCTCCAGCTGTCAGGATGTTTTCCCGGGAGAGGCCGCTGCCACGGTGGCTCCCCAGCTCAGCGAGGCGCAGCAGCGCCCCTCTGTGATGAGCACAGCCTTGGGGTCCCTGTCCCCGGGTCTTAGGGACCCCTCTCCACAGGGGGCCTGCTGCTGTTGTCCCCACTTGGAGATGAGGAAACCGAGTCACAGGCTGGTCCGGGGGACTGCTGTGAGTGAAGGGCCACCGAGTCTCTGTCCTACCCCCGCCCCTGCTGGGCCAGCCCTGACGGGTGCTCCGATCTCCGTCCCCTTGGGGAGCCCCGGGTGCTCTGCTCTTACCGCTGAGCTCGGGGCGGGCCGGGGCCGGCCCGAATCTCAGCCCAGCCACACGCCTTCCCCTCCGGCCGCAGGGCTGATGCTAGCAGCCTGGGAGGACGGATCCGGCTGGGCGCCTCGATAAGAAGTCAGGAAGCATGTGGTTTCTGTGGTCCTGCCTCCGAGGGGGAGAGGAGGGACGGGGAGAAAGGAGGGGGGGGGAGATGGAGAGGGGAGGACAGGGAGGGACGAGTCCTGGGCAGGTGGGCAGCCTCGGGGTCCCAGCCCCCCACATTGGCAGCTGGCCGCAGCTGCAGGACTGCCGAGTCCGCAGGCTCCCGCGGCCCACCCCAGGCCAAGTGCTCGCTTGGGCAGCCGCAGGGCCACCGACAGGGATGGTGGCTGGCACCTTTGGGTGAGGGTGCAGACTGCAGGGAGTGTTCACCCCAGCGTTGTCCGAGGGCCCGTCCAGCCGGGTGCGGAGACAGTGGGCGGGAGGGGGTGCTGGGAGTGTGAGGGAGGAAGGACCGGGCCATGCAGGCGCCCTGGGCAGGTGAGGGGTCAGAGTGGGGCCAGGGTCAGCCAGGCCGAGCGGGGCTTGAGGCTGAGGTTGTGTGGATGCCGGCTCTGCACTTAAGACAGCGCCCCTTCCTCATACACCTGTGGGGGTCAGTGACCCTGGAGGCGGCTCCCACTGGGCTGGGCCACCCCGCTTTGATGCTGAAGGCACTTCACCCCGATCAGGCTCCCCCCACACCCCCTCCCGCTGCGCCCCACCCAGGAGGCCCCGCTGAGCGGTCCCCTTAGTCTGAGTCCTCCGCCAGCAAGTGCGCCCGGGGCCGAGGGGTGACAGCACCCAGGAGGACTGGCCGTGGGCTCGGCCGTGCTGGGGAAAGGCTGTCGTCCTGGCCTGAAGCGCCCGCCGGGGAGCCCCGTGGGCCGTGGCGAGGAAACCCCGTCACAGGAGGGCCTGGTGCCTCGTGAAGGCCTCCCGTGCGCCGTCCCCAGCCCCGCCCGGCCTTGGAGGCGGGTCACCTTAGGCCACTGCCCGCCTGGGTCCCCGCAGACTCGGAGCCGCCGCCCAGAGCCCGGCGGAGCCTGAACGGACGGGAGGCCGGGCGGGGGTGTGAGTGGGGCTGCTCTTGTTTCTTTTCACTCGGCCTCTGTTTCCGAGTCACAGGCCGTTAGTTCCTAAGAAGCACCTACTCTGTGGCCACAGTGGCGAGTCCCTGCCGGGAGGGCCACCGCCCGGAGGGTGTGGCGATGGGCGATGGGCATAGGCGGGGCGCAGTGGGCTGTAAAGGAAGAGGCGGGGGATGGGGGGGAAAGGGGGTCTTTCCAGGAGCTGAGCTGTTGTTAGGAGCACGCGGGAGGGGACAGTGAGCTTGGGGAGGGACGGGAGTGCCGTCAGGGCCTCGCTCTCCAGAGAGGGACGCGGTGTGAGCGGGAGGCGCTGGTGGTCAGCCGGGAGCGCCGCCCCCACAGTGTCACACGGGGTGGCATGTGGCCCCCCGTAAAGCGAGGGGACCGGGAACCCCCTGGCGGCCTGGCTGCCCCCCCAGCAGGCTTTCCGAGCCCCTGGAATGTAAATCCCACCACAGCACCACGGGGGATGGGTTGTAACTATCATAAAGCCTCGTCTCAGAATGCACGCGCACTGATTGCGGTTGTATGGACTGCAGCCTCAGGAAACGTGCCTTCTGTCTGTGGGGGAGGGGTGCTGGGCATCGGGGTGCAGCTCGGTATTGAGGGGGGCCTCCTAGCACTGCAGCCAGGCAGGGAGCCTAGGGAGGTGGGGGGACTCGGCTCTGTGGGCCTGTCCTCTCCAGGCGCCCAGAGATGGCAGAGCCTGAGCTGACGGGGCATCGTGGAGTCTTCCCTCACCGCCCGGCCCGGTTTGCATGGAGGTGCTCCAGGCCTGGCCGTTCCGCTGCCCTCCCACCCCTGCCCGGCAGGCCGGCTCCGTGACGTCGCTTTCTCTCCTACAGGGCCCACGAAGAGAGACATGGAGGCCCCCTTTGAAGAAGTCCTGGAGAAGGCCAAGGCCGGGGACCCCAAGGCACAGACGGAGGTGAGGGCCGGGGTGCTGGGGGGACCCCAGAGCCGCAGGCCCGGACCAGAGCCCCGTGGCCACGGAGGTGGTGCCGTGTGGACGGGCTCGGGTGCAGCGTGGTGATGCCGCCATGTGCCTGGCCCCTGTTGTGTTTCTCTGTGTGCCCGGTCATTCCTGCCACCTCTTTGGGGAGCCCACGTGACTCTCCTGTGTCCTGCCCACACCTGGTCTTGGGCACCACCTCCAGGATGCCTCCCCTGCTTCCTGCCTGTGCTTGCCCCACCCCCACTCTCCTTGCATCTGGGGAGGGGGTGCCTGTGAGGAGCGGGTGCCCTGAGGGTCCCACAGGCCCAGCGTAGTGCAGATGCCAGAGGAACCCATTCCTGCAACCTTGTTTCTTGGCCTGGGGAACAGGGGAGGCTGTCCCGGCACAGGGGGAGGAGGTCCAGGAAGCCTGAGGTTTCCCGGCCGGGGGGGCCAGGTCAGGGCCCGGCCGGGTGTGGGGGTCAGGTCAGGGCCGGGCCGGGTGTGGGGTTAGGTCAGGGCCGGGCCGGGTGTGGGGTCAGGTGAGGGGCGGGCCGGCCATGAGGGTCAGGTTGGGGCCGGGCCAGCCGTGGGGGCCAGGTCAGGGCCGGGCCGGGTGTGGGGTCAGGTCAGGGCCGGGCCGGGTGTGGGGGTGAGGTCAGGGCCGGGCCGGGTGTGGGGTCAGGTCAGGGCCGGGCCGGGTGTGGGGGTGAGGTCAGGGCCGGGCCGGGTGTGGGGTCAGGTCAGGGCCGGGCCGGGTGTGGGGGTGAGGTCAGGGCCGGGCCGGGTGTGGGGGTGAGGTCAGGGCCGGGCCGGGTGTGGGGGTGAGGTCAGGGCCGGGCCGGGTGTGGGGGTGAGGTCAGGGTCGGGCTGGGTGTGGGGGCCAGGTCAGGGCCAGGCCAGCCGTGGGGGTGAGGTCAGGGTCGGGCCGGGTGTGGGGGTGAGGTCAGGGTCGGGCTGGGTGTAGGGGCCAGTTCAGGGCCGGGCCAGCCGTGAGGGTCAGGTCAGGGCCGGGCCAGGTGTGGGGTCAGGTCAGGGCTGGGCTGGGTGTGGGGTCAGGTGAGGGGCGGGCCGGCCATGAGGGTCAGGTTGGGGCCGGGCCAGCCGTGGGGGCCAGGTCAGGGCCGGGCCGGGTGTGGGGGTGAGGTCAGGGCCGGGCCGGGTGTGGGGGCCAGGTCAGGGCCGGGCCAGGTGTGGGGTCAGGTGAGGGGCGGGCCGGCCATGAGGGTCAGGTTGGGGCCGGGCCAGCCGTGGGGGCCAGGTCAGGGCCGGGCCGGGTGTGGGGGTGAGGTCAGGGCCGGGCCGGGTGTGGGGGTGAGGTCAGGGCCGGGCCGGGTGTGGGGTCAGGTGAGGGGCGGGCCGGCTGTGAGGGTCAGGTCAGGGCCGGGCTGGGTGTGGGGGTGAGGTCAGGGCTGGGCCGGGTGTGGGGTTAGGTCAGGGCCGGGCCGGGTGTGGGGTCAGGTCAGGGCCGGGCCGGGTGTGGGGTCAGGTGAGAGGCGGGCCAGCCGTGATGGTCAGGTTGGGGCCGGGCCAGCCGTGGGGGTGAGGTCAGGGCCGGGCCGGGTGTGGGGTTAGGTCAGGGCTGGGCTGGGTGTGGGGTCAGGTGAGGGGCGGGCCGGCCGTGAGGGTCAGGTTGGGGCCGGGCTGGGTGTGGGGGTGAGGTCAGGGCCAGGCCGGGTGTGGGGTCAGATCAGGGCCGGGCCGGGTGTGGGGTGAGGTGAGGGCCGGGCCAGCCGTGGAGGTGAGGTCAGGGTGAGAAGGAGGCCCTGCGAGCACGGCATCAGCGGTGTCCCCCCGCAGGTGGGGAAGCACTACCTGCAGCTGGCGGACGACGCGGACGAGGAGCTCAACAACTGCACGGCCGTGGACTGGCTGACGCTGGCCGCCAAGCAGGGCCGGCGCGAGGCCGTCAAGCTGCTGCGCCGCTGCCTGGCAGACAGGAGAGGTGGGTGCGGGGTCTCAGACCTGCTGCCTGGCAGACGGGAGAGGTGGGTGCCGGGGGCTCGGACCCGCTGCCTGGCGGACAGGAGAGGTGGGTGCGGGGTCCTGGAGCCGCTGCCTGGCGGACGGGAGAGGTGGGTGCGGGGTCTCAGACCCACTGCCTGGCGGACGGGAGAGGTGGGTGCGGGGGGCTTGGACCCGCTGCCTGGCGGACAGGAGAGGTGGGTGCGGGGTCCCGGACCCGCTGCCTGGCGGACGGGAGAGGTGGGTGCGGGGGGCTCGGAGCCGTGCCCAGGGGTGCGTGCTGCCTGCCACGCGGCAGTTCCGGGCTGGGCTGATGCCGTGGAAACCAGTTGGTGGTGGTGGTAGCCAGTCCCTCACCCGGCTCCTTCCTGAGCCGCCACGCCCTGCGCTGTCCGAGCAGGCTAGGGCGTCCCCATGGCGGAGGCAGAGCCAGGGGTGCCCAGAGGCCGCGAGGGAGCCCGCAGGCTGAGGACCCGGGGTCTGAGGAGCGAGCGGAGGACAGTGGCCCCGCGCCCCCCCCAGTGGTGGCTGGGGTGGTGGGCGCCCACAGGGGCCGGGCCCAGGGTCCTTCCGAACAGGGTCCTTTTCTGCCTGGTGACCAGAGGGGCCCGGGACGCCCTCCCGTGAATCTCTCCCAGGCCCTCGGGCAGAGCCGGGCTCGGGGGCGGACCCTGATGCTCCCGTCCCCCAGGCATCACCTCGGAGAACGAGCAGGAGGTGAAGCGGCTGTCCTCCGAGACCGACCTGGAGCGGGCAGTGCGCAAGGCGGCGCTGGTCATGTACTGGAGGCTCAACCCCCAGCGGAAGAAGCAGGTGCCCGTGGCCGAGCTGCTGGAGAACGTGGGCCAGGTCAACGAGCTCGGTACGCGGCTTCCCGAGGTTCCCGCGGCTGCTCCTGGGCGGTGTGGCCTGAGGGCATGCCCGGTGTGACAGTGGGCCACCCTGGAGCCCAGAGACCCCGCACCCACTGCCCCTCCGCTGGTGCCGGAGCCGCTCCCTGCTGTCACGCCCTGCCCTCCTGCGGGTCCTCCCTCGGCGGGTGGCACGCGGGAAGAGCCCAGGGGGTTGTGGCCCAGGACGGTGTTGGCAAAAGGGCAGCCATGCTGGTGCCGTGTGTTCACCCCAGAGCAGACCTGGACGGAGCCCCGGCCGGAGGGCTGGGACACAGCACTCAGAGCCTAGGCCAGGGAGGGCCCTGGCACGGACAGCGCCAGCCAAATGGGGACCATCATGCTGTTCAGAGGCCGCCATGTGCCTGTGACGGGGACACGCTGTGCCCGGAGGGCGGGTGGAGGACGTGACCTACAGCGGAGGCCCAGGCCCTGAGGCCCCAGAGCTCGGGGACGCCGGAGGGCTGCCCGCCTCATCCTCGCTCCGCTCTGTCCCCGCAGATGGAGGGGCGCAGCCGGGCCCCGTCCCCAAGTCCCTGCAGAAGCAGCGGCGGGTGCTGGAGCGCCTGGTCAGCAGCGAGTGTGAGTACGGCCGCTCTTCCTCCGCCCGGGGCAGCTCCCACACAGCCATGTCTGCCACCCGCGCCCGCGTGCACCGCGTCCCCGGGGCTTGGGGCGTGATGGGTGTCAGTTCTGGGCACAGAACCTGGCCCTAGCCATGGGGAGCATGCGCCTGGCGGGGAGGCAGACACGGTGGTCCCTGCAGGCCCTGGGCGCATCGGGTCCTGGGTGAGTCAGCAAGGGTGGGGCAGGGAGAGTGGGGGCTCCGCACCCAGCATGGCTGTGGGGTGGGGGGCAGAGAGTGGGGGGGAAGGGATGGAGGATCGGGGGCTCGGGGAGCTGGGGTGCCTTTGGGCCGTCCAGCTAGGAGACACCGTGAGGTGCCCGGTGTGCAGCGCTCCTGTCACAGCCCTGGGCGCCCATGGGGAGACGTGGTGGTGGGGGACCACACTGCTCAGCACTCACAGGACGTTAGAGGCCCTCAGGGTCTCAGCCGCCTTGGGGCGGCCGGGCACCATACTGAGGGCATGCCCCACTTTCCACTTTCCCCCGTGCAGGTGGGAACTGTCTGGAAGGGGCCGGCTCTGGGCAGAGCCAGCACTGAGGGCGGGGCCTCGGCTCCTGCTCTGTTCCTGGCAGCCGTCTGCCCCTCCCTCTCTCCCTCTCTCCTCCTCCTCCTCTTCCTCCTCGTCCTCCTCCTCTTCCTCTTCCGCCGCCTCCTCCTCCTCCTCCTCTTCCTCCTCCTCCTCCTTCTCCTCCTCCTCCTCCTCCTCCTCCTTCTCCTCGTTGGCTGGGTCCTCACCCACCGCCCAGGACAGACATGGGTGTCTGAGCCCAGGCCTCAGGGTGGCCCAGCCACTGCCCGCCTGGCCGCCCGGGCGGTGACAGCCCGGGTAACAGCCCCGGTGACAGCCCCCGTGCCATTCTCTCCGCCTCAGCCAAGAACTACATCGCGCTGGACGACTTTGTGGAGATCACCAAGAAGTACGCCCAGGGCATCCTCCCCACCGACCTGTTCCTGCAGGACGAGGACGATGAGGACGACGAGCTGGCGGGCAAGAGCCCCGACGACCTGCCGCTGCGCCTGAAGGTGAGAGCGGACCCCCGCGCCCTCCTGTGTGTGGAGACCAGCGCTGCGTCCGTGTGACTCAGACGGTGTCCTCGGAGAAGCTGTGAGCTTACGGCACAGGATGGAGGTTACCTCCTGCAGGACCAGAGCTGGGGCCCAGGAGAGCAGGGAGCCGGGTGCAGAGTGTCGCGTGGAAAGACCCGCGCGGACGGGGCCAGAGCTGGGCGGCTGCCTCCTGGGGCCGTGAGGGCAGCGAGCAGCCTCCGGGCCCGGCTCCATCCCCGTCTCCCTCCCCCCCCCCCCCCCACAGGTGGTCAAGTTCCCGCTGCACGCCATCATGGAGATCAAGGAGTACCTGATCGAGATGGCCTCGCGCGCGGGCATGCACTGGCTGTCCACCATCGTGCCCACCCACCACATCAACGCCCTGGTCTTCTTCTTCATCATCAGCAACCTGACCGTGGACTTCTTCGCCTTCTTCGTGCCCCTCGTGGTCTTCTACCTGAGCTTCCTGTCCATGGTCATCTGCACCCTCAAGGTCTTCCAGGACAGCCGGGCCTGGGAGAGCTTCCGCACGCTCACCGGCCTGCTGCTGCGCTTCGAGCCGGGCCTGGACGTGGAGCAGGCCGAGGGCAACTTCGGCTGGAACCACCTGGAGCCCTACGTGCACTTCCTGCTGTCCGTGGCCTTCGTCATCCTCTCCTTCCCACTCGCCAGCAAGGACTGCATCCCCTGCTCGGAGCTGGCCGTGGTGGCCGTGTTCTTCACCGCCGCCAGCTACATGAGCCTGAGCAGCTCCGCCGAGCCCTACACCCGCCGGGCCCTGGCCACCGAGGTGGCCGCCGGCCTGCTCTCCCTGCTGCCCGGCCTGCCCGTGGACTGGCCCGGCCTCAAGCTGCTGGGCCAGACCTTCTTCACCGTGCCCCTGGGCCAGCTGGCCGTGCTCAACGCCAGCCTGCCCTGCCTGCTGTACGTCTACCTGCTCTTCCTCTGCTTCCGCATGGCGCAGCTGCGGCACTTCCGGGGCACCTACTGCTACCTGGTGCCCTACCTGGTGTGCTTCATGTGGTGCGAGCTGGCCGTGGCCCTCCTGCCGCACTCCACCAGCCTGGGGCTGATGCGCGCCTCCATCGGCTACTTCCTCTTCCTCTTCGCGCTGCCCATGCTGGCGGCCGGCCTGGCGCTCATAGGCGCGGCGCGGCTCGCCCTCTGGTGCGCGTCGCTGGAGCTCACCAAGGTGGCGGTGGCGCTGGCGCTGTGCGGCGTGCCCGTGCTGCTGCGCGGGTGGGGCCGCGCCCGCGGGCCGCTGCTGGAGGTGGCGCACTCGCTGACGCGCAGCTCCGTGGTCAAGCTCATCCTGGTGTGGGTGTCGGCCATCGTGCTCTTCTGCTGGTTCTACGTGTACCACTCGGAGGGCATGAAGGTGTACAACTCCACGCTGACCTGGCCGCAGTACAGCGCGCTGTGCGGCCCGCGGGCCTGGCGGGAGACCAACATGGCGCGCACCCAGATCCTGTGCAGCCACCTGGAGGGCCACCGCGTCACGTGGACCGGCCGCTTCAAGTACGTGCGGGTGACGGACATCGACAACAGCGCCGAGGCGGCCATCAACATGCTGCCGTTCGTGGTGGGCGACTGGATGCGCTGCCTGTACGGCGAGGCCTACCCCGCCTGCAGCCCCGGCGACGGCGCCTCCACGGCCGAGGAGGAGCTGTGCCGCCTCACGCGGCTGGCCAAGCACCCCTGCCACATCAAGCGCTTCGACCGCTACAAGTTCGAGATCACCGTGGGCATGCCCTTCGGCGCCAACGGCGGCCGCGGCCCCGAGGAGGACGACGTGACCAAGGACATCGTGCTGCGGGCCAGCGGCGAGTTCAAGGAGGTGCTGCTGGGCCTGCGCCAGGGCAGCCTCATCGAGTTCAGCACCGTGCTGGAGGGCCGCCTGGGCAGCAAGTGGCCCGTGTTCGAGCTCAAGGCCATCAGCTGCCTCAACTGCCTGGCCCAGCCGGCGCCCGTCCGGCGCCACGTGAAGATCGAGCGGGACTGGCGCAGCACAGTGCACGGCGCCGTCAAGTTCGCCTTCGACTTCTTCTTCTTCCCCTTCCTGTCGGCCGTGTGAGGCCGCGGCCCCCGGGCGGGCACGACTGCCGACCCTGTGTGCGTGCGTGTGCGTGTGTGTGCGTGTGCTCGCCTGTGCACGTGCAGGGGCCTTTGTCGTGTGCAGCGGGCCGCCCCCGCCAGCCGCCTGCTTCAGCGCTGCCCGTGGAACGCCCGCGGCATGGACGTTGCGTGCACGGCCTGACCCCGTCCCCAGAGGCACTCTGCATGACGTTCCCCCCACCCTCCCGGAGCCCGCCCCGCTCACGTGTGTGGATTTGTTCTCGAATGTGCTGCTGTGTAGACTCCACATGACACTTGCTATTTATTTGGTGGCTGCTAAGCCTCGACGCTGCCCGCCGGTCCCGCGGGCTCTCTGAGCCGTCACGGGGCCCAGGCCCTGGCTCCCTCCAGGCCGGAGCCAGGCGAGGGGCAGGAGGGCACGGCCCGGCCACGCTGCGCTCTGCTCCACAGCTTGCCTCACTCGAGGGAGAGCGGGGAGTGGGGAGGGGGGAGGGTCTCGCCTGGGCCCACCAGCCCAGGAAACGGGACCCGGGTGTCCCAGCCCCTGGGAAGCCTGGCTGTGTCCCCACGGCGGGCAGAGCGGCAGGGCCCGACAGCAAATAAAGCGTGTGCTGGACCCGCCGTCTGCTCCTTCTGCCTCTGCTAAAGGGAGGCCTTTCCCGCCGGCCGAGGACAGGCCTGCCCCACGCCGAGCTCCACGCCAGCGCGGTCTGCGTGGCCACGAGCAGGCCTGGCACCGCCTCCAGGCCGGGCCCTGCCTCGTGGCCTGCCCGCCCGCTGCCCGCAGTCTGCCACGTCTGAAACGCGCCTGGTCACGGTGGTTTGTGAAACCAGTCGCTGGTGAGGCAGCTGTGCGTGGTTACCTGTGGCCCGCGGCCAGTGCCGGGCAGGTCCCCTCGTCCTGCCTACCCTGCAGCCCCACATCCCTGGGCGG